CCAAACAATGGCCGCATAGCCTTCTGATCGTACCATGACCACATCTCCTTCGTCGAAATGTACCAAGTCGTGAGCATGCAGGCGGTCAAATGTCGTCGTAAGCTTGCCTGTATACTTCTTGGTAATGTGGTGGAGGGTCGGCAATATAGTGTCCTGTAACTGGTCTAATCGTTGTGCCCAGGTGTCATTCGTCATCGGCTGGGAATCCGGTAACTCGTCTGTGAAATCGGCGAACGGAACATGGCGGCGGCCAAAGTACACGCTAAACGGTGCACTCCTATGGCGACGGGATATCCGAAGGTTCTGGTATAGCATCGTAAACGGAAGGCGTTCGTCCCATCGAAGGGAAACTGCCTCACAGCATTGTCGAATAGAACGTGTAATCTCCTTGTGACGTCGTTCTGCCGCGCCCAGCACTTGGGGTCGATATGGTGGAGACACCTTATGTAGCATCCCCACTTCCTGGACCAGAAGCTCCACTATCTTGTTGGTGAACTCCTGCCCCATGTCTGTTTGGATTTTACGGGGGAAGCCATGTTCGCCAAAAATCTCTATGAGTGTCTGTGTCGTGGTTTCCTTTGTCTTGTCCGGTGTGGCTCGAAGGATAGAATAGCCTGTGGCGATGGCTAAGACGTGAAGAATATAATTGTTCTTGCGTCTGGACTCCAGTGGCATCGGGATGTAGTCCACTTGAATATGGTCCCACGGGTAGCGTGCATCGATGCTAATCATCGGGTGGAAACCTTTACGAAGTGTGTCCTGTCCCAAACATGTGCCACATTGCCGCTTAACCTCCGTGGCTAACTCAAGTGCCCCTGGCCAAACGTAACCGTTCTGACGAAGTTGTTGGACTGTGTCCGCCGCCCCATGATGTCCTTGTTCGTGTTGCGCTTGCGTGAGTTGCGTACGACGCTGTTTCTCCGTCGGACTCGCTTGTGCAAACGCCGGGACCCTCTGCATCTGCCAGTGCCACTGAGATTTCTCGCGCGGTATCTAAGCACATCACATATTTTGTATGCTTTGGTTCTGCATAACCAAGTCGCTGTGAAAACAGCGGGTTCAGTTTGAATCCATTGGGAGGACCCACCCGTGCTACTACGGTATGACCCCATGGTGTCTTCCCACATGCGTACTTAGCGTACTTGAGGAACGTGTGTGGTGTCCGTGGTACCAGCACCGGTTCTGTCTGCAATAACTGCTTGAACAGGTCGAACCATGGTGCTCTTGGTACCCATGGTAGACATACTGTGGCCCGTGCGCCGTCGGCTCGTATTTTGCGTAACATCCTGTGTATCTGTTCCCAAGGCGGGTTCATCCATCCATCGACTATCGACCAGTCGTGGGCAAACGCTCCTTCCCCCATCATCCTTCGTCCAGAACCGAGGAAGCTGAGCATTGGTTGGGTCCGCCAGTACATCTATGTCATTCGGTCCAAAGTGTTGTTGCGCTTGTTCAAAGTAACTAGGGAATAACTGCCAGCCGTCTGTATACATTATTTCGAGTTCGTCCTGCTCCGCTGTCCCCTCGTGTACTCTACTTAACATGTCTGGGAGCACATTTGTCTCTCCGTCGACCCATTGGAATAGCGCTCCCCCTAAACCGTAATCGCTAGCGTCGGTTCCCAAGTTCAAAGGAATGCCGTCGACCGGAAAGTGTAACGCCACAGCATTCACCACTGCGTCCTTCATTGCCTGCCACGCCTGTGCATGTCTCTCCTTCCAACGATCACCTATCAACTCCTTCTTGACGTTGCCTTCCGCATCAAATGTCGGTACCGCAAGGAGAGGAAGATTAACAGTCGTTGGTGTCGTTCGTTTCGCAATCACCAAATCCGTCAACCACTTCTTCCCTTGTTCATCCACATAGGGGAGCCATCGATCGGATACGAAGTGACGCGTCGATCTCCGCATCTGCAACGCTTGTTCATGGGTTACTGGGATGGTTACCTCACTCCCTTCCAGACGACAGCGCGCGTTGTCGGCAATTTTCGCATTGGCTTCCAAATCCTTATAGGTACCACTTCCGTCGTCCCCAGTCGAGGAGTTCGCACCGCCTTGTCAGCTAAATATATAAATGACCCAGGTGGTGCCGGAGTTATTGGTCGGCCAAGGAGGTCTGCGGATGTCTGTGAGATACAACTTCTATTTGCTCCCGTGTCTATCAAGGCTTTGAACGTTCGTCCGTTGATTTGTACTTGAATATAGACTCGGTTGTCTGACGTCAGCAATGGGTCTTGTATTGCCATCACTGCTCCAATCGTGGTAACAAATATGAAGCTCCTATCCGAGTCAGACACCCTTACCTCTCATGCATGATCGGCTACCGACTCCCACGTCTCATAGGTGTGGTTTGGTGTTGACGTCATGTGCTCGAAGTCTCCGTAAAGAATCGTGTTGATATGAATCTCTGTAGCTTCCGATGGTGGAGCCAAGTCTTCGTCCTGTGTAATCGCATTCACCTGTACTTGAGGCGTCGGACGTATTGTGACTACGTCTCTAGTCTGGGATGTATTCTGCCCCTGTCCTGCGGTTGACGTTGTGGACGGTCTGTGTACCGATTGTACGTCCCTCAAAGGACGGTTGTTGTCGTATAGCCTTGCCCGACCCTCCGAGCTCACCGCTTGCGACGCCCTGAAATGATGACACCGTGGGATGTGCCTACCACCTGGTGGCGCTTGTGCCTGGCACTCCGCACAAGTCGTTGGTACCGTAGGTAGGGGTCGTTGAGTCCAATTCCGCGTTTGTCGTCTACTCGTCTGTAGGTTGGGGCGGCTATTGGTGTGGTCGCGACTTCCATTGGTCGTCGGGCCCTCGCGGTTGTTGCGACCCTGGAAACGTGCTGTCGTACGTTGCTGTGCATCCTGAATGTCAGGGTTCAACAGCTGTATAAGCTCGTGTGTCTCCATCAGTTGCCA